CCATCTCCGCGGGTCCTTCCCGGGTCCACAGTGGCTCCCCCAGACGAGGCCAGCGGGGAGGCCGGTGCGTGAACTCTTGGGAGATTCTCCGCGGGATCTGGCAGACAGGCCCAGCGTGGGAGGAGGGCGGCTGCGGCTGCCTGCCCTGCCTGGAAGCCGCCTCTACAGCATGCGGGGCACCCAGGCCCACCCTCCGCCTTCAAGCCTCGGATACATCGGGGATCTGGGTCCCGGGCGGACCGCGAGGACCGAGTCTCAGACCCGGGACCGCCCTGCCGCCACGCAGCCGCCAGACTCACCCGCGAGATGGTGAGGGGCGCGCTGAAGTCCCGGCCGCCCACCAGGCGGAAGCCCCAGGGCGAAGGCCCGCGCAGGGTCACGGAATGGGGCATCGCGGGCCGGAGCCGCAGCCGGAGCTTGAACCGGACTCTGAGGAGCCACCGCCGCCGCCGCCGCCGCCGCCTGGACGCCGCGCCCCGCCCCCGGCCAGCCCGCCCCGGTCCCCCTCGTCCCAGCCCCCGCCCCCGCTCCCTGCGCGCCCGGATTGGCCCCGCGGCCGGCCCGACCCTCCCACTTCGGGGGGCTCTGAGGATCCGCCCTCAGCCTCGGCTGCCTGCAACCCGGCACCCCCGCCCAGCTCTGAGACCCCCGAGTTCGGACGGCCCCGACGGCCTGGATCCTGCTCGGTCCTCGGATTTGCCGTCCGCGGACCCAAACCCGGCTGTCGACACCGGCCCTTTGAAGTCGCTTTTAGGGAAGGTGCTCCAGCCGGAGGAGGGATGGAGGGCCCACTTGGGGGATGGGGCTGCGCCCAGCTCAGATACCTCCTCATGGGCCCGACTGGCAAACCCGCGGCCCATCCTCCCGTGTGAGAAGCCCTCTGAACCAAGAACCCTCTGAACCAGGGGCCTGAGCAGCACTGGGCCAGGGACGCAGACCCAAGACGACAGCAGGCAGCGCCAAGCATGGGAGTGGGCACAGAAAGGTCCTCAGACTAGTTTGTGGAGGCCAGTAAGGCTTCCTGAAAGAGGTGGTCCCTGACTTGTATCTGGAAGCAAGGTGTCCCTGCTTCCCCAGGACACTGAGGCCTTCTCTTGCTGCTTGCAGGCTCCTCAAAGGCCACCTCCCTGTCTGCACAGCCCCCTCCCCTCGTCCTTTGCCAGGAGCTTTGTTTCCCCAGGTCTCCTGAGAAAGAAGCAGCTGCAGCGGCTGGGGTCGTGGCTGTGCAGTGTGAAGGGAAGAAATATATGCAGCTCTTCACTTTGGGCCCTTCTCTCTCCAAGGTCTTCTCTCCATTCCCAACCATTATCCTCCGGGGATGTACTTGAACAGCCAATGCAGATGCCTTGGCCCCACTGACCTCCCTCCGGTTCTCCGGGCCCTTCTGTCTGGCTACATCAGGGAGACACCATTTACTTTTCCAGACCCTGTGGAGGCCTCTCATTTAGCCCAGATCCTTAACCTTATGTGTCCTTTTAGCCAAGCTGTGATAAGGACCCTGCTCTTGGGCTCCTCACAGGTGGTGGGATGAAATGAGTCCGCTGGGTCTCTGACAACCCCCAAAAAGGAGAACTGCTTGAGAGGCACAAACCTAGGGCAGTCCAAGGAAGGGAGTGGCCCTTCAGGGTAGAATGTGGGTGCCTCCGTGGGAGGCAAGATGCTGCTATCTCTTCACTGGGAGAGAAACAAGTGGTGTGTGGTAGCAGGGTGTATATGGGAGTGCATTTGGGGTGTGTGTGTGTAGGCGCATGTCTGAATCCATTAAAGCACCAGCCACTGTGCTGTTCTCCATCACTTCGTCGTGGAGGAGGTTTCTGCTCAGCCCCATGCAGACTTAGACCACACGTGGAGAAAGGTGGAAGGGCCAGCAGGAGAGCTGGTCACTGCATGGTCTCTCTGATGTCTGTAGGCCAGAAGTTTCCCAGGACTTAAACCCTACTAAATGGGGTAGAGAGTGGGGGGCAGCCATCCCTTATCACTGGCTGTCCCGAGGGTTTGGTGTACAGCATGGCTTGTGGTCAGAGGCCTGTCAGCCTGGCTTCAAGAGTCCTGGTGAATGTAAACCGTACAGACCTTTGCTGGGGAACGAGATCCTCAGGGGTCTGTGGAAGCTTCCGCCCAATGCATCCCAAAGTGAATTCCTGAAACTCCTCTTCATACTTTGCTTGCTTCCCCCAATTTTGCATCCCAAAGACTGCCCACACTCCTCGCCTCCATCCTGAAATTCCCTCATTACCCGTTTACTTCTGTCCGGGAGAATGTGAAATGGTCCTTCTGAGTGTGACCTTCCTGGCCCCTGAGTCTCTGGGCAGTGTAATCCATCTCCAAAGGCTTCTGTCACAGGGTTGGAGGTGGAGGTGGGGTGGGGACTCTGGATGACTTTTTTAGAATCTGGTCCATAAACTTCCCCATTTTATCGTGCAGCGTTCTGGACAGATTGCAATGATGCAGGATCCGCATCCAGGCCAGTCATCCCTCACATGAGTTCATGATGACATCCCTGACTTAAGAGAACATCAGAGGCTTACTTCTGACTGTGCCTTCCCACAGGGGAGATGCCAGGTCAGGTTGTGTATCTGGAGTTTGGGGGTGGCCCTTCATAGGGGCCATACTGTGAACCCACTCGTAAGGTACACTGAGTTCTAGGCAGCAGGTCAGACAAGCTGCAGATTCTATGGCTTCTCCAACTCTCCTGAAAGTTCTTTAAGGAAGCCCTCAGATTTCCTTTCCCCCTGTAATGGCCTTGGTCCTGGGAGATTGCTGCATTGCTGAGACCCTATCGTGCTGGAATATCAAGTCATAAGGCAGTCACAGGGTCTGGAAGCCCTCTTCAAGGTGGGGATGTGTGGTGGCCAGGTCACACATCACCCCTGCCCTGGTGGCCTTCACGTATTTACTGCACATCCGTCAGGTGTCTGTGCTGCTGGGAATAACCAGACTGCTTATTTCACGCATTCTTCTTCTCTGCATAAATATGTATTGAGTGCTAAGGGCTGGGTCCAGGCGTCATCCATAAGGGCAGGGGCTGTGTCCGTCTTATTTATTTATGTCTTTCCAGCACCACGCAGAGAACTTGGCACACAGGAGGCATTAAAAAACATTTGCTGTTAACAACACCACAGTTACAGGAATTATTATCTTAGCTTGCCCTTTGGACATGACCCAGAGGGAGGTAGGGAGGGCATGAGGGGGCTTAGGAAGGTGAAGAATTCTGCTTCTACTGCCTTCAAGGCCACACCCAGTGGCTCAGGGCACGATGCCCAGGCCTTCTCTATGCGGCCAGGTCTGTCCAAGGTCAGGAGAAGCCATGGTGCTCTTTCTTCAGTGGGCAGGCAGGGTTGGCAGGCTCCAGCAAGAGCAGACAACCTTGGGAATGTCGTTGGGCCTGAGCCTAGAATGAGAGGGAAGGATTTGGACAAGAACAACCTCAGGCTAAGGGCGAGGTCAACCTGGAGGACAATCCAGGAGAGTGCCCAGAATTGATGTAGCCCTGAGTGGGGAGGTGGCGTGGAGTAATGGGGCAGCCCATATTTGAGGATACCTTCCTGTGAGGCCGTGGGGGCTAGCCAGAGAGCTCAGCTGCTGACCTGCTCCTCCCTGGCCTAGTGGCCTCAGGTCTCTAGGTAGAGTCTGCTCCATTCCGGCTCAGCTCTTTGAGGCCCAGCTGCCTCTCCCCAGCCAAGAGCCTGGATTCCAAGGGAATCTAAAGCCTTGCTTGGGAGTTCCTTCTTCCTGGAATGCCCGGTCCACAGTACTGACCACTCCAGGGCCTCAGCAAACAGCCAGAGAGAACTTTAGATGCCCCCATTTCAGTGTGACCTGTCTGGTCCAGCTCCACCCAGGTGTCCTCTCTCCTAGAAGCCTGCTGGTCAAGGCCAGGAACACGAATGGTGGAGAGGAAGCAGTCTGTGGTGGGCAGAGCTGGATAGAGGGGCAGTGTGGGTCTCCTGCAGAGTTGGAACTGTGCCTTAAAGTTACAGGAAGTTAAGGCAGGCCCACCATAGGCAGGGATCAGGGGCTCTGCAACGGGTAGAGGCAGCCAGGGGCATGGGTACCAGGCAACATCCAAAAGGAAGGTC